AAAAAAAAAAAAAGAATTCCTGGGACAGATGGACGCCGAACTGAAGGTAAGATTGACTTATATATGCAGAATCCAGCCACATGTTTCCTTGGTGCTATGGTCTGAGTGTGCCCCCCCTACAAATTCATGTATTGAAATCTTAACCCCCAAAGACGGTGATATTAGGAGGAGGGAACTTTTGGAGGTGCTTAGGTTATGAGGGTGGAGCCTTATGAATGGGAGCAGTATCCTTATAAAAGAGGCTTTAGGGAGCTCTGTCCCAACTCCACCACGTGAGGACACAGCGGGAGGTTGGCCCTGTGCAGCCCTAGAGAGGTGGAGGGGGCCTTCATCAGAACTCTGCCATGCTGGTGTCACAACCATGGACATTAGCCTCGAGACGTTTGTTTTTATAAGGCACCCGGTTTATGGTCGTTTGTCACAGTAGCCTGACTGGACTAAGTCACTTGGCAAAGGGAAAAGAGAAACTAACATGAATATCACTACATCTGAGGCACTTTCCAAAAGATTGTTTTATTTACTTCGTATAATCCTGCAAAGCAGATCTTACTGCTATTTTGCAGAAGGTGTAGTGGAAATGTGGCAACATCAAGTTTGTTAGCCAGTTTCTGTTGTAGTGAATCAAGAGCAGATCCTAAGTGACAGATGAAGTGACAAATTCCAAGACCTGCTCTTCCTGTGGTGCCATTTTGCCTGCCTTGTCTTATTTACTGATAATGCAAAGTTCCTTCAGCTGGAACTGCAGGTCCGCTCTTCCTTTTCTACTTGTTTAACTGAGTACAATTCCTCACTTTTAAAGAAAACTAAAACCAAACTTCATTAATACAGTCAGTGGCTACTTTTTCACAGAGGATCTAGATAATATGCCAAGTATTTTTGGTGGGGGTGGGGCAGCAGGGGAGTCATCAAATCAAGATGATTAAACACAGGTCATTTCCTCTCACTTTTCCGTCTTAACAGGAACTCCCTCTGGGTCATCCCTTATATTTGATTCTCCGAGTTGAAAGATATGTCCATTTGATGTCTGAGAAACTTTTCTAGCTCTGACTTACATACTTTAAATTTCTTTTCTTAGAACTTGCTAGCCACCTGTTGGCGGGAACATGGGATCATCACCAGCGTGGTGTGCCCAGGGGTTGCGATGCCTTGAGGCAGGGGGGCCGGCATCAGGGGCAGCTCTGGCACTCAGGAGTAGGCAACTGTCCTCCACACTCTCACGTAGATTTACTATGAGCTCTCCTAAAGTGAAATGTGTGACTAAAAGTCTTTTGTGTTTTTTTAATAATATGGAATTTAGTATATTTAATATGTGATTTGAATCTCATACCTGAAATGACTTAAGCCCTTATGTATGCCACCTCACTCTATCCTTCCTAGTTTTATGTGGAGGAGATGTCTATTCGAGGCTAAGAATTACAATTACTTTCCAATGTTTTACTTATAGGGTCTCTCCTGGCTCACTTTTCATGTACTTCAAAAATCATCAAACAAAACAAAATAGGAATTTGGGTCTCTCGCTGATCTCAATTGTCCTCGATTTCTTCTTTAACATTAATAGTATTAAGTAGATCTACCTAATTAAACCAATTATTTGTTATTCTTGCTGTAGAGGACCTAAGTGTGACCTTGGAATCCCACTGCTGAGAACCTTAATTCTGAAATAGAGTTAACATTTGAACAACACAGGTTTGAATGGCACACTCCACTTATATGTGGTTTATTTTCCATAAATTCAGTATAGTACTCTAAATGTATTTTCTTTTCCTTATGGTTTTCTTAATAATATTTTTCTTTTCTTCATAGATTATTTCATTGTAAGAATACAACGTATAATACATATAACATACAAAATATGTATTAATTGTGTATTTATCAGTAAGTCTTCTGGGCTACAGTAGGCTATCCGTAGTTGAGGCTTTGGGGAGTCAAAAATTATACATGGATTTTAGACAGTGCTGGGGGGATCAGCACTCCTAAATCCAATGTTGTTCAAAGGTCAACTGTTCTTTCTTGCAAAGTTCTATTTTTGAGTACCTGGATCTAATAAACTCCAGTAAACCTTGTTCAAATTCATGACATGAGTTCCTGAAATTTGGTGACTACTGGTTCATATAAAGGCATTTTAACCATCCTTTATTAACTTATTGGCAACCAGTCTTCATTATGAATATGAGGACATGACAGAGAGGTAGGAATTTTGAATGATACTAGTATAAATATTTGGCCAATTTGTACTAGATTTGGGTCAAAAAAAAAAAAGAGAGAGAGAGAGAAGAAGACTTCAGATTATGAAAAAAGTAGGAAATAGGTTAGATAGTTAGGTTTGGTTGAATTAGGGAAACTCAGAATCAGGCAAAATAATTTGCTCCCCAAAGTTTGTTCTAGAGGAGAAAAAGTCTTATTCTCATCCGGTGAGTTATGGAACTGAATTTGAGTATGTGCCAAGTGCTGCTTGGTGGTGGTGTCAGTGATTTTGGTAGGGAAAAGGCACTTTATTTGCCTTCAGCATGATTTTGTCCCACCTCAAGGCACCCCAAATACTGGTGAAAATAAGGTGCTTGCTGTCCAAGTCCTCTAGGTCCCTTCTGGTGAGATTAGATTGCCTCCCTATATAAGGGGGTGCTTGTCCCCAGGTCTTTCGGATTCATTCAGCTGAGGTGTCAAAAGAGGAGGACTTGGTGAGTGTCAGGTATCTCCCACTCTAAAGCTATGTGCATGCCTACTCCTACTGTGTGCCAGGATCCTGTCAGCATCAGCCATTCACCTCAGTCTTTACAAAGGGCTGTGTTGTTAGGACTGCTTAGGAATAGTGGTCAGTGTGTTGTACCCCTAGCTGTGAGGAGGACATGTTTCTCCTTCGTTGAAAGCAACTAAAGAAGGGAGCTTCAAGAGAAGCAAGGAGGCAGTTTGCTATGTCTTCTGGATTTTGAGGAACACACACACTGTAAAGGTGCATGCTTGCTGGAGCTGGCAGAGAAAGGGATGCCCAAGTTCCCAGCAAGAAGCACAACCCTCAGGCAGAACAGAGGGCCTGTCTCCAGGCAAGACAAGGGCCCAACAGAGGGAGTCAACCTGGAGACTGAGAGGCTTCCTGCCCAGACCACCTGAAGGGGTTCATTTGACCCCAAGGAAGGATGGAAATTCCATTCAGGGCCAGGAAGGAGGGAGCCCAGGGAGGTTATTTGAAAAGAAGGTAATAGAAAATACAAAGTTGGTTTCTGTTAGCATCCTGGAGAGTGGTACTTCAATAAAATATTTTATAAAATGTAATTTCAAGTCATCCCCAAATAAAGATACAATAAAAGTAAAGGTGTTAAATTTTGCAGATCCCCTGGCTTTACCTAAGTCACCTGTCTCTAAGGAGTGTTGGGGATGTCACACTAATTGTACTGAACTACAAAGATTCATTCAGCAGTGGTATGGGGGACAGGTCAGAGGAGGGAGACAAAAGAATTCCCTCTTCTCTCTTGGTCTATTGCTTTCCTTGTCCCACAATCAGATGTCCTTGCACAGAGCTCCCATAATAAGCCCCTGCCTGCTCCATCACTGCACTTATAAAAATTGTTCTTATTTTATTTTATGACTTATCTCTGGAACTAGTCCCTCAGCACTAAAGCATCAGGGATTCCTGTTCCTGTTTGTCTTCAGAGCACCTAGGACAGTTCCTGGACCACTGTCTGTGTTCTTGTCACAAGGGTGAGTGAGAGTTTCAGTCCTGTCATGAGCTCTGGGGCCTTGAAGCCTGGGCCTTCTCTGATAATTTACTTTATTTGGGCTTCAGTCTTAGTGTACCAGGGTTGGTCTCCATTCCTGTTTCCTCCACACTGAAAATCTCCAATGTAGTAAGTATAAGAAAAGAAGACTCAAATAACAGAAAGAATCAAAGACAATGTCAATGGTTGGGAGAATATGGTTGAAGCAACACAATTACTTTCAGTTAGGAGTGGTAATTGGGACACTGAGAACTTTTCTGAAACATGTTTATCTAAGATGAAGGGACCATATGTTATTAAAGACCAGTTTGTATGTTAGGTTTAAGTTGGAATATTGGGGGTTATCTTTACACTAGTGATAGAAGGTTGATAGTGAAGTTGATTGAGAGAGAATAAAGCAACGTAGTAAAGACAGAGTTGCAGGCAACCTGAGAGTCGGTGGGTGGTAAGGGGAAGATCCTACCTCCACCCAAAGGGTTAACAAGTGCAGAGGAGATTTTGGGAGGCACTGTCCCTGGGAACCTAAAGAAAAAAATAATTCAAAAGATGTTTTGCAGAAACCAAATATTTTGGTGCTTGTAGTTCAAAGTAAGAAATTGAGGTTGAATTTGGATGGCTTTAAAACTCCTTGTCAATCCTCATGGATCAGCATGACCTCCTTTATCACCACTGTCCCACAAAGAGCTGTCAACATACGCCTTTAAAAAAAAAATTGTTGTAATGTTATATACCCACAGAACAGAAAGTTCCAAATTGAATTAGAGGAGTATTATATTTATTATATTATATTTTATAATAGTGTATAAATTATTTTAATTTTATATTAAAATATATTCACACCTCTCCAAAAAACATGCTAATTATTTCAGGTAGCGTTTTAATGGATTATTCTTGGAGCAGGTCAAAAAGAATGTAAAGGGGTTAATAAATTATTACCCACACCTAAAGATATCTTCATACTCTCCCCAAACATCTGTTTGATGTCACGGGGTCATGTAGACAAGACTAAATCTAGTTCTTTAAAGAAGAAACAGGAAATATTTTCATCAGCAACCAGCACGTGGGGTGCTGCAACAGGACCTTGGAATGTCGTCAGAAATTCAGTCAACTTCAAGGCCAACAACCGAAGGCTTAGAATCGGCTGAATCGTATGAACTAGGACTGGGGAGGGCATGGCCAAAAATTTGGGGAAGGAAACTTAGTATGGGGATGGAATCTGGTAAAATCTGCCTCAACAGCACTCTTTGGACATTATAGAATTTGTGACAATTTTTTTTTTTCCCCCAGTCAGGGGTGTTACTTTCCTCTAGGTGAAGCCTACTAACTTTGCAGGAACCAACGGAAGAGCCAATCAGGAGCATGCCCCACTTTTTCTCTTCCTTATCTTCTGAAAGGGACAAAGTATTTCCATGGAACCCTCAAGGCACAGGGAGAAGAAAACAGTCTATGTTATAAAAACCTCTTTTGTATATATTATGAACTGCCATATCAGGAAATCCATGAACAATCTGAAAATTGCTCAGAAGGCTGAGTGTGAGAAAGCTGTACTATATCAAAGAAAGCGTCCAGAGGACACACTTTCAAAAGGGAAAATTGCCAGCACAGAGCACTGTGGACAATCAACATGAAAACAGGGGCTGATATAATCACAGCTAAAGGAACAAATGTTAAGCGTTCTCCCTTCAGCTCAGCTGGCCTATTATACCTCTGAATACCCAGGCTTACAATGCCTCCCCTCCCTGCCTCCAATTCCAGAAGTGTCAGACAGGAGACACAGTGCCAGCAAAAAACCTTCCACCGATCTCTTGTTAGCTAACTGCGGTGTTTTGTTCCGTGGTTACATGTCTGCACAGGCCGTCATTGTGTCAGTCATAATTACCACCTGTTCGCCTGCTCCCTTCAGGTTCCATCACCTCTGCGGCATTAAGCAGCCAGCGGCAGGAAGCAGTGTGGCTTGCCCAGGAGCAGCGACTGTCAGGCTCTGGGTTTCAGAGTATAATTGCTGCCTGCACGCACAGAACCCTGGCCTCTCCCCTCCTCCCCCACCCCTCCCCCGATCGGGAAGGAAAACACCCAGCTGTACACATTCTTTAGGCAGAGGAGATCAGAGGCACATCAAATGTCATCTTCAGGCCATGCATCGGACCTGAGCTCTAACACAAACATGCCATTCTGTGACCAAAAATAAAAGTTCAATTTTTAAAAACTGTACAGACCACACCTCCTTGCCTCCGTTTAGTGCTAAATAGATCAATTTTTAAAAACTGTACAGACCACACCTCCTTGCCTCCGTTTAGTGCTAAATAGTACTAAATAGTGCTCCCAGCTGCATAGATTGTTTTCTTTTTCCTAGCATTATGCTCTGAAGTTTTTGATTAGAGACTTTCTTAAAAATGTTGTTCAGATTGGATCATTGCATCTTTCCCAGCTCATTCTAAGATCATACCGACCAAGTAACAGATAGCACTAGCTAATAGGAATGGAGCACTTAGAGCGGTACAGGCATTAAGCATTCTGCGTTTTAAGTACATAATTTAATCTTCACGATGCCCTAATCTGGTAGCTACCATTTTCATTCCCTTTCATGGATGACAAGATCAAAACATAGAATCTATTATCTTTTCTTTCCTCCAAACCTTTGTACCTGAGGTATTCGTAATGCTGGCCCTTTCCTTCCCATCAAGCTAATTCCTGCACATGCTAAGAATTCATCTCAAAGTCAAGTTGCTGGGAAAGCCCTTCCTGACCTCATCCCCTATTCTGAATTAAATATTTTAAATATTCTTATGGACCTGGTTTCTACCATTAGCATAACTGTTATTTATGCTACCATAATTGTTGGTGTTATGTCTATTACTTCCTTATGGCCTGGGACTATAAATCTCCCAAATAATTTAGTTCCCCGAGTCAACCTCTTCTGACTCAGGACGAGTTTAACATCTATGTAACTATTAGCAGGAAAAAGATGATGGAAATTACAGCATTTTTTTACCACTGGTTTTTTTTTTTTCCCCTTAAATTTGCCAAAATACGGGGACTTGGACTTTATATGGTTATCATGTAGTACCAGTCATGAATGTTTATTACTGATACAATATTGCTCGGGAAGAGAATATTCCTTAGAATTATTAAAATGTCATATTTATGCAGATAGAGTCTGTGAGTTCCAAGTACAATGCTTTCACATGGGGACTTGACAGCAGTAGAGTCATTTCAGGAGAGGAGGATGGAATTGCATCGAGTAGGCCTGTGGTTCCCAAAGTTGGCGGATCACGAGAATTACCTGAAGAACTCTGAAAAAACAGATTTCCTGGTATCCCACCACCCCTGAATCAGCATGTTTGAAGGTGAGGCCAAGGAACATGCATTTGTCAAACTGCCCTAAGGTAATTCTGATGATTGGCCCATTTCTAATACAGCTGTGTGAGGTGTTTTTCAGTGGTTTGGTTTGAGTAATTACTCAAAGTACATAAAAGCAATCTTCTGACATGTGGACACAGGACCCCCAGAGAGGATAAAATAAACAGATCACCAGTCATATCAGCAGCATGAAGCAAATGAAGAAGAAACGTACATTTTCTTCTGGTCAGGATTCTCAAAAACAGGCTCAATGAGAATAACCTGGAGGAGATTTTTTTTATAAAAGGCCTATGCCCTGGGGCTCATACCTGCAAATTAAATCAGCATCTTAAATTGGAGCACAGCTCAGACATTAAGATTCTTTGAAAAGAAGCCAGATGATGCAGCCAGGTCAGGGGTGGAATTAACGGCACATTCCAGAAAGTTTGAACCCAAGGTACTTCAGAAATCATCATTTGCTGGGAAAACTGGACTTTACCAAAGACTTTCCTTAGGACGCTACTTCATCAGATGCTCTGAAAACAGAATTCTATGATCTAGTATATTTGGGGGTCCAGTATATTTGTCTCCTGTGTATGCCCACCTTTGAGGCTTATGTGCATAATACAGATCAGTGTCTCAAGACCTGTGACCAGGAAAACCGTTAACTTGGTTTAATCCAGTATTTCCCCCCAGAAGCTACTTTTTATTTTCATGGCATTTACCAACATCCTCTGGAGCTGCAGGAACAATGACTCCAGGTAAGTAGGCCAGGTACCTGAGCCCTGTGCAAGGGCATCTTGTGGCCGAGGCTCTTTATCATGTATTAGGTACTGGGGGACGAAGACCTTGGAATCCTGGTTTTGACACTTCAGTTTTAAAATGATGGCGTTTGAGGGGTTGGTGGAGATGGGTCTTTGCCAGTGTGAATGAATCAGGATGCTTTGTCCTTTTGTTCTATGTTACCGTCATTTACTAGGTCATACACAACTTTCAACGGGCTGCAGAAACATTAATGATGGAAACCTCACTGCCCCACCTTCTGCAGATCAAAAGACTTTGGCATTGACTTGAAACCCACAGAGAATTAGGGCTTGGTCATTGCCTTCCTCTGCGCACCAAAATGGAAGTTCAAGTGACATATATTCTGTATAAGCAGAAGCCTCTGGAGCAAGTCCCTGGTTTGGCTGTGTCTCCCGATGCTCCCTCCAACCTGAGAACCGTGTCGCCCGAGAGCAGCTGCTCCTGCAACCAGGGCCGCAGGACTGGACGGCGCATGTGCTTGAGTCCAGCCAAGCCCAGTTTAGTCCTGACGTAACCTGAGCAAGAAATAAATAGTCGTGATTGTAAACCAGGAAGATTTTAGAATAATTTATTACAACTAAATGCAAGATATCCACTTCATTTGGTTCCTGACTCAAGGAAAACAAATTAAAAAAAAAATGGGATGATCACAAAAATTTCTATACTGACCTTAAGAAGTTGTGTCATTGAAAAAATGTAATAGAGCTGTTTTGCTTGTGTTTAAATAAAGGATCCTTCCATTTAGTGATCCATACTGAAATACTTTCTGTATGAAGTAATCTAATATGGGGACAGGGAAGTGTGTGGAGTTATAAATGAAAAATGTCTGACAGTTGATTATTGTTGAACCTGGGAAATGGGTAATCAGGCCTTCACCATATTATTCTAGTTTGTATGTTTTTGAGATTTTTTTTAAACCATAAAGTTAAAAAAAGGAACATTCTCCCAAACTATTCTCTATAGATTGAAAATTAATGAAGTTTCTTGTTAGAATTATAACAATCTTCTAATTTTATAGCATTGCCAATGAGCCATCCTGATCATAAAAGAGTCAGCCAGAGATAGCTAATAATTTCCACCATGCAATTATTGTTACTATTTGTCTCAACGGGAATTGGTACATGTTTTGAGTTGGAACACTAAGAAAGAGAAATGAAGATCTAGAGAACTCGAAGGATAATTATCCTTCTTTGAATATTGACACACTTACATGTTTTTCCAGACGTAGATTTTGTGTAGGCGAGAGCTATTTGATTTTAAAAGATCCGGTTTCTCCACATTTTTTAGAGGTAAAAACTTCATTAATTAGCATCAAGGAAAATGGAGCATTTGTTGCTTTTTTGTCAACAGATTTTAATAATATTGAATACTGCTAATTGGATAGAACTGAAATATAGCTCTTTGTATGTTAAATTAAGATGGTTTCTTTTATTTTTTTTTAAGCAAATTTTATTTAAACCACGGCAACTCTTCAGAGTTTTCCTCAACCTCTTAAGTTAAAATGATTTTGTAGACTTAGAGAGAAAAAGGATCCATGTCAGAAAATGCTGTCAATGATTCTGTTGTGATAGTTACTGTGACCCTGTCAGAAGAAGAACAGCCAAACTTGCTAACATTCCAGCTCAAGTGTTCTCTTGAATGTTTCTGCAGTCAGAAGATGAAAGCAATACATTCAACAGGTGTGAGGAGAAACTACAATGCAGCACTGGTTAAAGACTGAATGAATGATTTGCCAACAAAGGAGTGATAGGGATGGTAGACAGCCCAGGCTTGCTAGTGGTGCCTCGCTCAAGGAACTCCCCTCTCTCAGTGTGCCTCTTGGGTTGCCCCACCCCACCACTTTTCACTTGTACTTCCTTAGCCACAGAGAGGCCACAGAAACTGACATCGAGCCTCCTTCATCCCACAGAAGCCAGTGCTTCTTTCCATCTTGTGGTTGCCAGGGTCTTCAGGGAATCCCAGCAGGGAAGACCTCACCTGAATAGTACAGCCTTGCAAGGTGCAGTCTGCATAGCCTGTCTCGTGGACCTTGACAAGTGGCATTACCCTTCTGACTCTCTCTCACTTGAGTCTGCTGCTCAAGCCTTGTACGTATCTCTAGACTCCAAATTTCCCTTACTCAAAGCTAGTAGCATGGACCATGCTCTTGCCCACTCAAGTCAAGGATTTGGGGAGAACCATAAGGGGTTCTCCCCAAATCCTTCAAAACATTTACTCTTTCAAAGGGTACTTAAAGGTTTTCTTGAAAGAAAAAATTTCCCTTAGAAATAAAAACTTTTCAGGTAACATATTTGCCATAATGTCCATGTTCTCAATTCTTTCCTTAGAAGGCAGTCACGTTTACACACACACACACACACACACACACACACACACACACTCTCATTCTCCTTCTATGTTCATAGCCTCTGAGTTACAAAATAATAAAAAACAACACCGTTTTTGGTTGGTTTGTTTGTTTAGTTGGTCCTTAATTCTGCATCTTGTTTTAGGGGTTGTAGAAAACAGCACAATATTAAGGTTCTGGTATAAATTCTCTTAAATTTAATGCAAAATTCAAAAACAATGGTCAAAATTTTTGGAGCTCTTAGGTGCTATGAAGATGCAAAAATAGCTAAGATATTGTCCCTGATTTTGATGAGCCTAACTTCTTTAATAATAAGTAGAGTCTATGGAAATTTGCAACTTTTCACTTTTTCATTTCATAGATGCCTTCCATGATTTCTTCTCTCCTGTAACACAATTCTTTCTTGGCTCTGAGGGAAAAGGAGAAGGATACTGTTGAGGGGATGCTGTTGATGTTGAACAAGGGGAAAACAAAAGAAAAAAATGATCATTTTGTACTATTTTACAACTAATAAAATACTTCCTGTTTGACCCTCACAATCCTGAACCTACCCCCCACCATTTCCTGGACCTCTTCTGTGTGCCAGGACCTGGGATATTCAGGAATGGAACAATCCCTACTTGGGCTTAGAGAAGTTTGCAGATAGAGACAGATAAGTAAAATCAGTTGCCAAACAGTGTGATAGGTTAGAGGTTGGAGGTTAAAAAAATA